GCTCCAAGCGCTCCGCGACCAGCAGCGCCAGCAGGTCTGCCCCCCCCCCCCGCCGCCGAGCATGCCTCCCGCGCGCCTCCTCCTCCGCGGCAATCCCTCGTGCAGCTCGCCGCAGCAGGAGGAGGAGGGCCCTCCCCAGGAAGTTTTCTGGCCGCTCTTGGCCTATCAGCTTCCCAGGGCCCCTACCGAGCGCCAGGACCGTCAAGATATGATTCAGGGGCAGACCTCCGGGGATCCACGCTGTGGACAAGCACACGACCTCGGGGCCTGGGGGGGAGGAGGAGGAGGAGGAGGAAGGGGGGGAGGAGAGTTTAGTTGAAAGCGTCTGGGTCATTTTGGTCGCTCTTCGACTTCCGGAAGGAACTCAGGACCTCTGGAGGCTTCGGGCTTTTTCTGTGGACCTCGGACCCCCCCCCAGTCTTGCTCCTTCCCCATCCCTCCCTCCCTCCATCCTCCCCTCCCAATTCACCGCATCCTACCTATTCATCCTCCCCTTCCTGCTATCCATTCCCTCCTCCTCTCCCACGGGTACCATGCACCGTGCAGGGTGCTACACACACACACCGTCCCGTGCCGAGCCTCAGAGGGACTTCTCGACATATTGCCCCACGTCGGCCAATAGTCGCAGTTGTGCAGATGCGAGTCACTATCAGTCCACCCTGGGAGGTCCACCAGAACACACGGAGGGATACAGAGTCAGTGTAGAAGTGTCACGAAAGAGAGCGAGAGGCATAATACAACACAACACAAGCAACACAACACAACTCAACGCAGCGCAACGCAACGCGGCACAAAACAACGCAACACGACGTAACATTACCCCGGTGCGACCCTACCTAGAAGTTGGAGCCCCTAGGAAAGCAGCATTAGTTGCTATGCCATGCTATGCTATGATATGCTATGCTATGCTAGCTATGCTGCGCTATGCTATGCTATGCTATGCTATGCTATGCCATGCTGCGCTGTGCTATGCTAAGCTATGTATTGCTATGCTATGCGATGCTGCGCTATGCTATGCTACGCTATGCTACTCTATGCTACGCTATGCTATGCTATGCTAAAGCTCAGCGAAGCTAAGATGAAGGTAAGCTAAGCTAAGATAAACCTGATGTAAGATGAAGTTAAGCTAAGGTACGATGACATAAGCTGAGCTAAAATGAGATAAGCAACGCGAAGCTAAGGGAACGTCACTGGGGGAACCGCGGGGCGGATACTGGGGGAACCGCCCGGGGTGTGCCCCACTGTCCGGCCCTTTAAGCTACGAAGTAAGAACCCTTCTAGGCAGAGCCTAGGTAGGGAACAAAACACATCAAGTCATCATAACACAACGCAGCACAACGCAACTCATCACAACACAACAATATACAACGCAGCACACACACACATTCGGGACAGTTTGGTGTCATCGATCTTCTGCGAAAACAGAAGGAAGGGAACGACAGGACAGTCAGACACAACATTGACGTACCACACATTCTTGGCGGTAGTGGGGTCGCGCGCGGCGACGATGTTCAGAAAACGTGCAGGCAATGCCCACGGCAGCCGGGCCCTCAAGCATCATTTAGGATGTGGATCTACACACAAACACCCACTTACACTTACATTTACACTTACACGCTTACGCTTACGCTTGCACTTACGCTTACACTTACACTTACACTTACGCTTACACTTACACACACACTTGTTTTACCTGCGCGAGAGGTCGCCCCGCGGCCAAGGGAAAGGGGAGGAACGCAGCAGTGGGGACGAGCAAGAGGGGAAGCAGCAGCAGCAGCAGCAGCAGCAGCGAGCAGTGCGAGGCGCGGCCTCGCGCAGCAGCAAGCAGCGCAGGCACAGCGCACACACAGCAGCAACAGCAGCGCAGTGCAAGCACACACACACACACATACACACACACACGTACACACACTCACGCTTTTTGGGGGGGCGTCGCGGCCACGCGCGCGGCGGCTTGGCGTAGAAGGCCGGGCGGAGAGCCGCGCGCGGCCGGCCCAGGTCGAACGCGGCGCGGGGGCCCCAGGATCCGCCCACAGGGGATCGACGGGGTCACAAGCGGGAGGGGGGGTACCAAGGATACGCCCACAGGGGATCGACGGGGTCACTCGCTGGAGGGGGGGGGACCCAGGATCCGCCCATAGGGGAGAGACGGGGTCACTCGCGGGAGGGGGGGGGGGGGGGCACGTTAGGGGGGGACTGGCGTCGTCTCCCCTCTTTCGGTATTTGCTGCCGCTCCGCCCTCCCCCATCTCGCCCTTTGTCTCCCCTCAAGTCTTTCAGCACCCTTGGGCAGCTCAGGGGACCCTGTGGAGAGTGCACAGGGCCTCTCGCCAGAGCGTCGGAGTACTGGTCCAGGGTGCAGCGTGGAGTATTCGGGTGGAGTCTTTTCCCAGGAGGGAGTGCAGTCAACCCGCAGAGCAAGGACGAGCAACTTTCCAATTTTACCCCTGCATCCTTCCCCATTCAGCCCATCCTTGACCGATTTCGCTGGCCAGCCTAGTTCGAAAAACGTTAACATGGCCCTCCAAGGCCCTTGCGTCCTCATCGTGCGTCCTTATTCTACGGGTTGACCATACGGCTGGTGGCTGGCAGGGCGCTCGTCGAACAAAGAGCTTCGCCTCCCCACTCTCGGGGTTGCTGCCGCCCCGCCCTCTGCCCGTCCGCCCTGGCCTGGCCTGCTGTGGCCGCCCTGCGCCGCCCCGAGGGCCTCTCCCGTCCGGGCCGCCCTTTCGCCCCATGCCGCCCCTCGCGGCGGCGGCTCCCTGCCCGTGCTGCCCCCCGCTCCACAGGGGAGGCCTCTGGGGCCCCTGCCCCTCCCCCCTTGGGTCGGGGGCCTCGAGACGGGGGTCGATGCAGACAGGGGTCAGCCGGAGCGCCGGTTCTTGCAGGATCCTGCAAAGCCAGGGCTGCATTGACCCGGGCTGGCGCGCAGGATCCTGCAGGATCCTGCAAAGCCCGATTTGTTCTGGGTTTGGATTGACCCGGGTCATTAATCCCCCTTTGGGGATCGGTCCGCACCGTTCGCCAGGGCGGAAACGGGTCCTGAGGGCAGCGGGCCAGGAGGTGTTACTCGGTTCTTGGCTTCCCGGGGCCCTCCACAGGCCCCGGGAGAGTCAGAAGACGGCTCAGGATGAAGACGTGGTCCTGGGGGGAAGGCCCCAGGGTCCAGGACCCGTTTTCCTCAGGACCCGTTTCTCCCTCTGCTAACTTGTCTTGCTCCTGTGTTGCGCCCTGTGCGTTCGACGCCCCTCGCTCGCCGTTGGCGCCCCGCGGCTTCCGCTGTCTCATCCCTGTTCCTGTCTTGCACTCAGGGTCCTCGTCCTGCCGGCCGCCTTGTCCTGCGCGCTCCGCCGTTGCGGTCCGCCACTGCGTCCCCTCCTTACAGCCTGCATTGCGCACTGCCTGGTACGTCGCCGGTACCTTCTCGCTGTCTCCCCCTCTCCCCGCTTTCTCCTGCTTCCGTGCTCCTCGTCTCCCCGCTTCTCCCCGTCTCCCCCTTCCGCTCACACGCACACTCATTTCCCAAGCACTGCTTGCACAAAGTGGCCCGCAGTTCTCTCCTCAAAAAATTGGGCGCCACTTCTGGATTTTTGACTCGTGGGCGCCCCGTTGCCATCCCGTTGTCTCCTCGTTGCTACGCCGCATCGTTGCCGCCCCTTGCCGCCACGCAGTTTTGCTACGTTTTGGTCAATGATATGATATATATATATATATATAAATAGAAAATATGACCTGCATATACATACACATATAGATTTACACATGTATACACATATAGATGTTTACATATATATATATATATACATATATATATATATATATATATATATATATATAATAGATGCCTTCGTTTCGCATTGGCCTGAACCGCTTTGCTCTGATGTTATTTGCACTGGCACGCATTGGTCTGCGTTGTTTTCAATTCGTTGGGCTACTCTGCTGTGCTTCGCAATGCCTTGAACTGGTTGGTTTGCATTACTTTGCATTGCTTGCACTGCTTCGCATAGCTGTGCATTGCTCTGCACTGTTTGCATTGCTACGAATCGCCTTGCCTTGCATTGTTTTGCACTGATTGCGAAGGCCTTACGGCCGGTGCCGCCGACCCTGAATGGCGACGACGACGACGACGACGAGCGCTCTTGGGGGCCTCTTGGGGGTAGTTTGTGGGCCTCTTGGGAAGCTCTTAGGGGCCGCTTGGAAGCCTCGTGGGGGCCTCTTGGGGCTTCCTGGGGGTCTCTTGGAGGGGGCCTGGGACGTCTTGGAGGCTTCTTGGACGGTCTTGGGGCTATCTTGGGCGTTTTCGGCCGATCTTTGGGCGACTCGGGGCCCTCTTGGACCGTCTCGGGGGCCATCTGGGGCATTGGGACCTCGTTTGGAGTGTTTTCGAGGTTTCTAGGCCGCCCGAGGAGAAACGAATCTGCCCCCCCCCCCCCCCCCCCCGGGACCCCCCCCGGACACCCCCCCCCCCCGGGGAAGGGATCGAAGGGAAGGGGCTTCCCTTCGACTCGATTACGACACTGCTCGATTTTTCTCTCGCTCACAAGCTTGAGAAGGAAGCTGCAGGGAAAGGGGACGACGGAGGCGACGACCGACGGAGACGACGACTCGAACAGCCAAGCCCCTCGCACATGCCGACAGGGTCGGCGGATTTGCGCCGCGTGTACCGGTCTGCGTGCCCTGCTCTGATTTACATTGCCGTGCGTTGTTTTCTCGAAATTGCTCTGCGGTGTCAGCGCTGGAAGCATGGGTATATGAATATCTACCATATATAGATAGAGATATGTGTGTATGGATATGTCGGCCTGGAGGTTGTCGGAGACTGTTGGTGGTTTCCAGAGGTCCTTGGAGGTCTTCGGACAGTGGCCTCCGTAAATTCAACAGTCAGCAAAACGCCCAAACATGGCCAGGAGGAGGAGGAGGAGGAGGAGGAGGGAGGAGAGGGCGGGTAGATAGATGCGTGCTGTTTTTTTTTTGCGACGAGGCCACGGAAGGGCCGAGAAGCAACGGAAGTGTGCTCGACAGCGAGCGATACGTTTCGTCCAAAACGGACCCCATCTAAAACTACAGCGAGGTAGTTATTCGACGTATAAACCGCAGCCAGCAGTGGGGACTGGTCCCAGGCATCCGGCGCCACCACTGTGTGTTTTGTTGACGGCCAGCTTTCCGTAAGTTTGGGCCTGTAGGGGCCCGCTCTGGATCTTGGGGCCATCAGAAAACGAACCCTGAAGAAAACGAGCGCCATTGTGCCTTGCAGACGCGCACCCAGTGGGGAAGAGCAAGTGCGAACGCACAACGGCAATGAGCAGATGCGCCCCTAGCGGAAGCAGTGCGAGTGGCCTGGCCTTCCCTGGCCTCGCCGTGGGTCTCCGCGCCCAGCACGGCAGCGCCGCAGGCCGCACGCCCGCGCGGCGGCTCGTGTCCCCGATGCGAGCGCGCTCCGGGTGCGGGCGGGCACAGGTCGGGAGATGGGACCGAACATGCCAAGCAGGGGCGTCGCCACGCCGACACGAGAGGGAGGCCTTGGGGTGGGGGGGGGAGGCCGAAGCTCCGTTGTCGCCAGGGGGGCTGCCTGGGCCACGTGCCCAGAGTCGGGGGCCTGCTGTGCGCCCCCGTGTTGCCTCCCAGGCCACGGGCCCCACTGCGCGAGCTCGCCCGAGGGGGGCTGGTTCTCGCGGAGCTCGAAGCGCTCCCAAGAGCTTGGAGAGGTGGGTGTCGGCGGCCCTCGTGCTTGCCTGGCGCCGGGGTCCTGCCCTGCAGCGCCCCGCATCCCGGAGGCGACCCTTCAGCTCGCCGGCTCTGGCCCGAGACGTCGGCCGACGTCTTCCGTGATGTGGATGCTGTGGTCGGCGTCTGGGGAGTGGCGCGCCAGTTTCAGCCTGATCGGGTCGGCACGCCTTGCGCCCCCTGGGCTCGCCGCTGGAGTCGCAGCCGAGGTCGAACATTCATCGGGCCAGCCGGGGGCATGGTGGGAGGGCGTCCGGCCACGCTGGGCAGCACCGCCGTGACCCTCTGGGCGCCAACGCGCCGCTTGCAGAAGCGAGGTCAGTCCGAGGCGGGAATTTATCCATAACCACCGCCTGGGGGTCGATCTTCGTCGCGGACATCCACAGGCGGTGGATCAGGATATTGTCGGGCTCCCGGGAGCCAAACTATACCCATATCCACCGCCCGCCAGGGCACCAGGACGTCGGTTGCCAGGCGGTGGATATGGATAAACTCCCGCCTTGCAATCGGGACCTCGAGGGTTCGGGCTCGCCGTTGGGCTTCAGATCTGGCCGATATCGGCGCGTTCCCCCGGATCGCTGACCACTTTCCGTCGCCGCGCTGCGCAGGCTGCCGGGAGTTGGCGGCGGAATGCCACAGCCTCGAGCGAGTGGCCTTGAGGGCTCATCGCTCACGTGGAATATGCCCACCAGACGCTAGACGCTAGACACTAGCCCATAGCATCCCCAGCATGGTGATTTCTGCCGATGTGTCGGTCAGCGCTTCGGTTGGAGCCCACACACATGACGTGTATGCACGGTTCTCACAAAAGAAGCTGGGATAATGTACGAGGGGAAGGCGGCGAATGGAGGAAGTGGGGGTAGGGGAGGATGTAGGGCTTCAGGGGGAAGAGTACAAGCCATGGGAGGCGAGGGTGGTAGGTGGTCAAGTCGCTTTCCAAGTGCTCTTCTCCTCGTCCTCTTATCCACATCCAGCTCCACGGTGTTGAGTCGTTGCTCGTCGTCCCCGTCCTTGTCTTCGTCCTCCCCCTCTTTGTCTTCGTCGCCCTTTCGTCTTCATTCTCGTCTTGCTGCCCTCCTCTTCCTGCCCCTCCCCTATGCTATTTTTTCCCCGCTCCTCCTCCCCTTCTCCTTCCTTCCTCCCTCCTAATCATCCCTTCTTTGTCTGCGCTGGCGCAGCGCCAGCACGGCGTCCATCTTTCCTTCCTTCTCCCCCTCCTTCTTATCCTCTTCCCATCCCATCCTTGCCCTCATTCTCCTTCAACCTCCCACCCTTCCCTCCTCCTACCCCCGCCTCCTCCTCCCCCTCCTCCTCCTCCTCCTGCTCCTCCTCCTCCATCCCTGGCCCTTCTACCCCCCCCTCCTGTCGCACCAGGCGCGTTTGCAGGCCAGGCCGTGCGGTTCGCCTGAGACTTCAGTAGTTACACTGATGGGGCGTTGGTCGTTTTCAAATTGTGGTTCGCGCCTTCGTGCCGCACACATCGCGTTTCAAAAGATGTCAGCAGCTACACGGATGGAGCGCTGGTCGTTTTCAACATATGTTTACCGCTTGAGGTTTGTTTAGCACTTATATCAACGATTGGACAATCGTGCAACCATTATCTACATGGAGGGCGGCTCCGTGTCAACACGGGGCCTCTCGCATCAGACTTCGCTTGATTTATGGACCAGGAACTAAAATCGTGCAGCAGCTACACGAACGCAGGGCGCCTGTTTTTGTTGAGCAGGGCCTGGCATTGGGCACTTCCTCGATCTTCAACGCCCACCTTGTGGCGTGTAGCAAGCTCGGAGGATGGAGGGCAGTCATCTTCAAAGCTGAGCTCCTAACTGAACTGCGGGCCCATGCGGCACTTGTATTTTAAGTGGGTCGCTTCGCGCAGTGAAGAATAATGCCTTTAAGGACTAATGGGGAGGGGACTTGGGTCACAATGGTGCACTGCAGCCTCATTCATACATCTTGGGTTACTCTGTTCCTCCTTCTCCTCCTCCCTCCTCTTCTTCCTCCTCCCGCCTCCCCCTCCTCCTCCTCCTCCTCCTCCTCCTCCTCCTCCTCCTCCCCCTCCTCCTTCTCCTCCTCCTCCTCCTCCTCCTCCTCCTCCTCCTCCTCCCCCTCCGACGACCTCCTGCCCCCTCCTCCTTCCTCCTCCTCCTCCCTCGTTATTCCTTCTCCTCGTGATCCAATCCTATCCCCCCTCCTCCTCCCTCCGACCTCCTACCCCTTCCTTCATCCGCCTCCCTCGTCGTCCCATCCCCTCGTCATCCCTTCTCGTTGTCCTCTCCGCCGCCGTCGTCGCCGCCACCCTCGCCGCCGCGGGCGACGGGGCCGCCCGCAGGGCAGCCCAGCGCGCGGCGTGCCGCTCTCGAGCAGGCAGGCCTCCAGCCTCCTGCCGCACGCGGACGCGGTGTTGGCCGCCCTGGCCGCCGACGGGGGGCTCCCGGAGGACAGGGGAGGGGGGGGTCTCCCGAGGGCGGAGGACTCCCAAGTGACGTTCCGGTAGCGGCGTTCCGCGGTGCCCTTCCCGTCTGCTCCTGCCCCAGCTCCTCCTCCACCTCTCTCTCCCTCGGGGCCTCGGGGCTTGTACTCCTTCCCCCTCGGGTGATGGGGTCTCCCTTCGGGCGGTGAAAAAAGGTTCTTTTGTTGTGCCCTGGAGGGGCACTGAAGGGGCCCCCTGGGGCCCAAAGGACACGCAAGGTGTTCGTGCCTCCCCCCACCCCCATGCATCGCCTCCCCAAAAATTAACCTCCGATTCCTGGAGGGGAAGCGGGCGCCCGCCCCCGCGCGCGACGTGCGCCCACGAGCGCCCGCGCGCCCGCGGGCGCCCGCGCGCGCGGGGTTCGAGCCTCGAGATGTTCGGACAGGTTCGTGGGTTCTCGTCGGCTTTCCAGTCTCGGGGGGCCTTTTGGCGGGTGCGCCTCGCCGCAGGCGTTCCAGGGACGTCCAGATAGTCCCGAGCCGCCAGGGAGCCGATAGGCTCAGGGGGACCGACTTGCGGATTTCACAATCTTAAGAGTGGCTGTCCCTTGTAATCGGGATGGGTGTGGTGATTGGCCTTCCTGGCGCGGTGCCTGGGGACCTGTCTGAGGGGAAACGCCAGGAACAAGGAGGAGGAGGAGGAGGAGAAGGTAATAGTGATGGTGATAATGGTCCTGAGGTTGGTTTTGAGTTGTTACCTTTGCAACGCGGTCCGACGTTCTGCAAGGACCGAGCACGATGATATGCAATTGTTTGCCCGAGCTGCCTGATCTGAGCTTTTGCAGCAAGTTGATGTCGAAGAGGCGTCATCCTGAACGAACCTGGTCCTAGCTAGGTGCGAGGAGGAGCAGGAGGAGGGGGAGGAGGGGGAGAAGGGCAAGCTAGGTGCGCTCGCGTCATATCTGACGTCCTACACCTCCCTCCCATCCCTTACCATGGCGCTGATTTTCTCTATCCGCGGACGCGTGTCGTAGCGGACCTGTGGCTCCGCGCGCGCGTGCGTAGTGGGTGGTGGTGCACGTGCGTGCGTGCGTGCGTGTGTGTGCGTGGTTGTGGTGGTGGTGTGGTGGTGGTGGTGGTGGTGGTGGTGTGGTGGTGGTGGTGGTGGTGCGGCGCGGTGGTGGCGGGCGGATGGGCGCGCGAGAAAGAGGCCCGCGCTGGGGCGAGAACGCCATCCTGCACGACGGAGGCCAAACACCGATCCGAAAATGAGACCCACGCTGCAGCGGGAGCACGATTCGGAACGATTCGGGAGCAGAAATGAAGCCGGCGCCTCAGCGCGAGCAGCATTTTGGAAAAAACGCAGGCGAAAACCCAACTCCCGGGAATCCTGTGTGTAAAAAACAGTACACGGGGGGGGTAATACTTTCAGGCCGCCATCGGGGGAAGAGGGAGAGTAGTATTCATATTGAGTAATTGTGGAGGAGGAGGAGGAGGAAAAGGAGGAGGAGGAAAAGGAGGAGGAGGGGGATGCGGAGGAGGAGGAGAAGGATGGGGAGGGAGAGGACGAGGAGGCTCCCGGTGGACGAGGAGGGCTCTGGAGGGGTGGAGGAGGATGAGGAGGAGGCGGACGAGGAGGAGGAGGACGAGGAGCGGGAGGAGGAAAAAAGGGAGGAGGAGGAGTAGGACCATAGTAAACTGAGGATGTATCAATGATGCTGCAATGTTCAATCCCCGTCCAAAGCCACCTTCTCGCAAGTCCCTAGTCGTCCTCCTCGTTAGTGACACTGTCGTACCATCGAAAGACGGACGTACCATGGGAATGCAATTCGAGTGAGAGCCCCGCTCTCAAATGAGTAGCCTTTCAAACTAGCAGCTGTAAGAAGGAACGCAGTTCCAACCCAACTTTGATACTTGTGGTCAGTTGCACTTGCCTGTGTTCGTGGTTGTAAACGTGGGGGGTACCTCGTATCTCAAGCGAGAACCACACGGCGCGTTGGGTCCGTAGGAGCGCGCGACAGTGACCCGCGGCCCGTTACAGCGAAGCGAAGGCGACAAAGGGAAGTCGGGCGGTGGGTCGCCGCCGACATCTGCCACGGTCTGGGACTCTTGCAGAAGCGCCGGGGGCGGCTGCGATCACAGCACCAGGGAAGCACCACATCATGCTATTCGCAGTGACTCTCCCCAGTCCTGCTCGGATGATGACTGAGGAAGAGGATGGCGAGGACACATTGTTGGCATCCAGGGGGGGGGGGGGGGCAATGATCGAAGGGTATGGATGTGTCGGGTTGACCCAAAAGGGGGTCCAGCTGAAAGGGGGTGGTGCAATAGTTTCGGTGCAATCGATTCGTGGGGTTGCAATACATTTGGGGCGTGCAATACATTCTGGGGCGCAAATGTATTGCTGGAATCTCGCGTGCAACATATTATTTGCAATACACAGCAATACATCTTTCTGGCGCAATGCATTTGCAATACAACTGCCCCACATGTATTGCACCACCCCCTTTCAGCTGGACCCCCTTTTGGGTCACCCTAAATGCCGAGGAAGAGAAGATGACAGGAGGGTCGCACAAGGAGTGAGGAGGAGGAGGATGAGGAGGATAATAATAATAAGCAACAGGAAAAACACAGCATGATGCGGAGGAATAGGCAAACCGACGAGGATAAGGACGGATAAAGGGGAGGCTGTGTATGAAGAGGAATGGGGGCATGATGAGGTTGGGCGAATCGGGAGATCGATGAGGAGGACCACGGGGGAGTGGAGGAGGACGATCGGGGATCAAGGATGAGGGGGGTTGGAGGAGCAGCAGGCAGAGGCGGAGGACGCCAGAGTAAGAGGAGGAGGAGGAGAAGGAAGAATCGGGGGATCCATGAGGTGCACGAGGAGGATGGGGATGAGTCGGCGAGGGAGGATGGTGGGGACCGCGGAGGAGGGTAAGGAGGACGAGGACGAGGACGAGGAGGACGAGGAGAATGAGAGCCGAGGCGTGGGAGGCAGTAAAAGGAGAATGAACAGGGGGACCCAGGTCCTCGCTCCCCATGTTCTTCGGTCCGAGGAGGAGCTTGGGGGATCGAGTCGGAAGAGGACGATCGAGGAGTATGAGGCAAAGGGAGAGGAGGAGGGACAGCAATAGTGGGGTCGAGGAGGAGAAGGAGGTGGGGGTCGCGGAGAGGAGGAGGAGGAGGAGGAGGAGGAGGAGACTGATTGAGGCGGGAGAACAGGAGATGGACAGGTGTTGGAGGCGAGGAGGCTTCCGCGATACAGCCCAGCGCGTACCCCCTGGCGGTCGTCTTGTCTTCGAGGTCAACCACAATTCAAGCATGTGCTGCTTCTGGCATTAGAGGTCGCTCTTCCAACGCTATTTGGGTTGATGTCCAGGGATCGAGGGGGGTTCCCCGTTGGCCGCACCCGTGGCGCAGGCTGGTCCCATCTAAGCCTCTCTGATGGGGTCCGCGTAGATAGTGTCGGAGGATCGCGTCGCATCGCCGACGATGCACCGGTGATGCAGCTCGATGTGGAGCCCGATGTTCTCGACGCCAGCGTCGCCGATGCATCGTCGACGCATCGTCGATACATCGTCGATGCATCGGCGATACGGTGCGATCCTCCTGCCCCATGTACAGTCAACCCGCATTAGAAGGATGAGCGATTTTTCAAGGTTACCCTTGCATTGTTCCCCATCGGTCCATCCTTGGTCGCTTTCGCTGGCCGCACCCCGCTCGCAAGGTGTCGACATGGCCTCCCAAGGCCCTTGCATCCTTTTCGTGCGTCCTTATTCTACGGGTAGGGTCTACTCGGACCCCATCTGGGAGGCCTCTATCCCTGGACCAGCTTCGGCGGCCGGCGCGCCACAGACCTGCGAGCGTGGGGGTGCTTTCGCCGCCTACCCGGCATCCGTGCCCACTTGGAGCGCTTCTCCCTCGGCCGCGGGGCGCGTGAGGCTCCAGCGGCATCGTCGCCGCCATCGCAAGGGCGTCTTGGCGGGAGGAGGGGGGGTGTCAGGAGTGAAAGAAAGAAGAACGCACACGTACATGAGTTCACGCTGTTTCCGAAAGTACGCATTGTGCGAACGTCCGTAACACGAGATTCGTTTCGCGGACTGAGGGATCGCATTCATGTACGTTGGTAGGGCGCGTACGTCCTTGGTGGGCTCTCTGGGGGTGGGGGGCGGGGGGGGCGATCCCCGATGACACACGGTGAGGCTGTCATGACAAAGTCCTGCACTCGTTCAGGCAGGCGTTCGCAGTGGTCACCGAGCAGTCCTTCTCGGCGGTTCGATCTTGGACATTTTGAAGCATCCTTCTCTTGTCTTTCTCCAAGGGGCAGTCCAATCAAGAGTGTTCGGAGTCCATTTGTCGTATACTTCCCATCGCCTGCACGGGCTCTTGAAACATATGAGCCAGTCAAGGCCATATTAGCATCACAGTGCCTGTCGAAAACCGGTATACCCTTCCGATGGACCAGAGTTGAACAGGGCTCTAATTATGAAGCGTGTCGTAACCCGATGATGTACTCGCATACCGCTTCTTGTTTGCATGTCAGTCGGGGGCGGATAATCACTATGTCGAACCGGCAGGCTTCAAAGGCTCCTCCGCATCATCACCCCCCTCCTTTGTCGCCGCCTTTCCAGAGCCATTTTGCATTGGGCTCAAACGTTGGGACTAATTAGGGCTTCTCGTAGTCTCTGTCCTGGGGTTAGCGGCAACTGATCCGCGACAACCATGGCGGTTACCGCATCTTTAGATGCTATGAGCCACTTGATGTCTCTTGACGCTGTAGGCGTCGGTCACGTCACAAGCCACCAAGTTACGCATATCGGCGGAGGGGACGAGTACAAGCTGTTGAAGGAGCTTGGCATATCCGCCATCTGCATCGTGGGAGGCTCTATCATGTGCATGATGAAGACCTGCCCTAAGTTGCTGACGCCAGGTCTTCTGGTCATCTTCTTCGGCGCCCAGACCGGCATGAACATGTACATGAAGGCCCGCGGCCGCCGAGAGTTCCTGAGCGCCGGGGCCCTGGTGCCCAGAAGGGCGAAGCATCCCATGGGAGAAACCCTGCGCCCGGGCCAGGCCAGACAGCGGGCACCGGTCGCAGCCGGGCCGGGGCAGGCACCGGGCAGCACCCCAGGGGGGCGGGCAGAGTTGGGCTCGCAGAGTGCGGGCCAGCACCCGGCCGTGCGGACAGCACCAGGGCAGGGTGAGGACGCGCAGGGGGGGGGGGGCGAGGAGCAGGCGGACGATCGGGATAGGACAGTGAGAGCACTGCGGAGGGAAGAGCGAGCAAGATGATCATGATCAGGATGGCAGGGGGGTGGGTGGATGAGGAGGACGAGGAGGAGGAGGAGGAGGAGGAGGAGAAATATGAGGACAGGGGGGAGGAGGGGAGGAAGTGGAGAAGGGATGACAATGAGGGATGAGGAGGAGGAGGAGGAGGAGCAGGGGCAGGAGTGGGGAGAGGGAGATGGGGAGGATGGTGGAGTAAGAGCAGGATGAGAGTGAGAAGGAGAGTTGGCATACGTGGATGATGAAGGGAGGGGGGGGGGGACGGCCTATGAAGGATGGGAGAAGGAAAACGATGTAGTGCGACGAGGCCTGCTGAGGGCCTGAAGGAGGGGAAACGGGGCAACGAGCTTGGGGGAGCCAATGCCGCCAGTGGCTGGCTCCGTTGGGCCGTCAATGCCAGACTCCGTGCGAGGACGAACTGGCTCCCTTGTCAGCGGGGTTGACGCGGTCAAGCCAGATCAACGGCATGCGGGCTGTGGCGGGACCTGAGACGGCGGGGAGCGGGGAGGGTATGGCCATCGGGCCCCACGCTAATGGATCATAGCCTTCCGAACCGTCGGGTCGCAAGCTACAGGAGTCCATCAATCCCATTTGAACGGTGGCAGCTCACTCAGTAGCGGCTGCCTGGGCTGCCTTGAAGACGTTATAATGTTCCCCCGGCGCCTTGAGCTGCTCCGCCTGGCCTTTTGCGCGATAGGTCTCGGACACATGCAAGTGCGGGCCGAATGAAACTTTTGCCGTCCTGACCCGCCACTCCCTGGCCCTCGTGGTAGGAGTGCTCGTGGGATGCCTCCAGGGCTCCGTATAGTCGGCCCAGTGCGTCCGCAGGGAGGATTAGGGGTGAGTGAGGGGTGGAGAGGGGAGAGGGACGAATGAGGGAGGATGTTGAGGAGAAGGAGGAGGAGAAGGCGGCGGAGGAGGAGGAGAGGAATGATAGAGGAGGAATGAGGAGTGAAGGTGGAGACAGAAAGGTGGTATGGAGGAGGGAGGAGAAATATTGGGGGAGGAGGGGATGCAAGAAGGAGGACGAGGAGGACGAAGATCAACGACAGGATGGGTGAAAGGCTTTTGGTTCAATACATCAGTGGAACAGGTGCTTGAGCCGAAGGGGGTTGGCGGGAAGGGTGAGGGAATGAGGAGGAAATATTCGTTCCGTAGGAAGGAGAAGGGATGTCCGTGATGTGGTTAACGGGGGCGAGGCAGGATGAGGGAGGAGGGAGGCAGGAGTTTGGAGGACGAAGAGAAGAGAGAATGAGAGATTGCGAAGGTGGAAGGGGAATCGAGTGAGGAGGAAGGAGGGCGAGAAGGAGGAATCGGATGAGTTGGAGGAAGCGGAGGATGATGATGAGGAGGACGTGGTGGACGATCATATGGAGGATGAGCGGGGAGAGGAGGAGCCGGAGAAAGAGGAGTGGATGGGGGAGGAGGAAGAGAGAGGATCAGTAGAAGGTGAAGTTGGCAGAAGCGAGGATGGGGAGGGGAATGATGTTGATGTTGTTGTTGATGATGGTGATGAGGATGAGGATGAGGATGAGGATCTTGATAATGATGAGTTTGGTGATGATGATGAGGATACTGGCGATGCTCATGATGATGCTGCTGTTGATGATGATGCTGATGATCGTGGTGGTGGTGATGCTGCTGCTTCTGAGGATGAGGATGAGGATGGGGATTGTGGTTGTGATGGCGATGGCGATGGCGACGATGATGAGGACGATTCTGATGATGATGCTGATGATGATGATGGCGATGAGTATGATGATGATGGTGATGGTGATGATGCTGGCGATGAACTTGACGATGATGATGATTAGGATGATGATGCTGATGCTGCTGCTGCTGCTGCTGCTGCTGCTGATGATGATGATGATGATGATGATGATGATGATGATGATGATGATGATGAGCGAACCTGCATGCAGGCAGTCTTTTCGTCCACCACCGTCCTCAATCCCGCGCCAGACGAGTACTGCGCCGGTAGCTTAGTGCGTGCCAAATTTGCAGTCGTGGATTGATGGCAGATCCTCTTGTCATCCTCGTCTTTGTCATTGTCGGCGTCACCCTCATCGTGTATACTCGACGCCCTCCTACTTGAGTTTTGACAGGCCATTCGGTGGAGGCGCGGGCAAGCGCACCTCAGCTTGTATTCTAGAGAGCAAGCCTCCGACTGCCTCTGCCTCTTCCTTCCCCTCCGCACTCCGTGTCTTCCTTTCATCGCCGTCTCAGTCAACCTTGTCCCCACCGGGCCCTACACTTTATTTGCGACCAAGGGCCATGCTCCACCGCCGAACTCTATCTGTATCCACTGCTTCGGAGTCTTGCCCCTGGACCTCAAGGAGTGGTGGAACTGACATATGCACGCCCCGTCCGAGCAGGGGGGTGCTCGTATCCACTGCTCCTGGGGGGATTTGGTGAAGGACTCCAGAAGTTGTGGATATGGCGCAATGTCCTGGCAGCGCATCATCCGCGACCAGGGGCCGCGTGCTGAGGTCGATGCCGGCGACTCCTGCGCCTGGATCGGCTTCCAGGCCTCGTTCTTCGTCACTGGGTTGCAGCAGGCTGGCGGGTTCGTTATTTTCTGGCTGCTGTACCTTCCCCTGAAGGCCCGCACTGTTCCCGCGCACCGGGGGCTTTCGGCTGCAGGACCAGGGAGGAGGATTGCGAGGATGAAGGAGGGCGGTTGGGAATGAGAAGGCTCGGAGAAGGAGGCTTGGAGGAGGTGGGAGTCTCACGGTTGAGGCCGACAGTTGTGGTCGGCAGAGCTTTGGCCATATGACGGGGGAGGCGGAGGGCAGGAGAGGGGAGGAAGTGTGAGACGGAGCGGGCCAGGGCCAGAAAGTAATCAGAAGTGACCAGGCCAGGTCTTCTGTTTTCGGGGAAACGTAAGACTCGAGTGCGCCGGAACTCGGGTTTGCCGACGCTGTTCGACGCGTGCGTCATGGATTTTGACGGTCGTTTCCGTGGGATGTTTGCAGCGTGAGTTCGCCACAAATTTCAGATTGGGTCTCGTCATTTTCACGATCGTCAGGCCAACCGGAGTCCCCAGAACCCGAGTCTTACGTCTCCTCGATGTTTGCGCCCATGATTTTCGATCCCTTGGCTGCATGGGTTCTGACGGACCAGAAGCGGCGCGGCCGAAGGCGCTGGGCTTCAACAAGATAGGGGAGAAGGAGATCGAGATCAAGACGCTGAGCTCCACGAACGAGGTTGGCGCTGGCTGAAAAAGCTCTGCCGAGCATCCGAGGCTTCGTCGCCTGAGCCAGCGGTTTTGGGAAAAGGGAGACAACAGCACGCCGATTTCGGGGCCAGACGTAGGGACCCCGAGGGGCCGGCGGCCCCTGGTGCTCCCCGCCTTCGCCTCGCCAAGCGCCGTTGTCGTCGGAGAACCTGCCCCTACGCGCGCAGGTCATCGCAGTGCTGTGCTTCGCCGCGAGCTTCACGATGAACATCGCCCTGAACAACATGTCCACTGAGAGGGCGGGCAAATACAGTCAACACTGGCGTCACGGATGCGCCGTTATGGCAAGGGCAACTTGCGTCCTTCGGCTCTGGCCATCCTTAGCACGCTTGGGCGCGCACATCATTGGATTTCGCGCCGAGGCAAGGGTCTTGCATCCTTATTCTCAACCCTTGTCGCTGATTTTGACGGTGCGAGCTTTGACTTCGGGCGTCCGCGGATGGTCTCTCCGCCGTCGCTGGCGCTAGCAGGTGCCGCCCACGGGTGAGTGCGTGTGGATCCGACGCCAGCGGAGAAGCTGAATGCGGACGCACGTTGCTGACAGGTAGACGGTCAGGATCTTGGGCTTAGCGTGTCGCTCCGCCGGTTCTGGCCCACTAAGCTTCGTCGCGGCACGCTATCCACGTCCCAGCCCCCACCCGTCAACGTCCCAGGCCTTTCCGAGGCTCCCGCTGCGCGGAGTGGAGCGAGACGCTACTTCAATCGCAAGGCATGGCGTGTTGTCAGGGGCCGCCGCCGCGACACGCTCTCCAGGAGTTCTTGACCGCATATCCTCCTGGCCTCTCGTCCACTGCTCCCGCGTGAAGCTTATCCTGGAGACCTCGGACCAAGCATGTCCAGAGGCATTCGGGGACCTCCTCCCCTTCCCCCCTCTGGCCCGCGCGAGCTCGCCAGGGTCGCCATCCCCCTAAACAGTGCTGGCACTTACGGGCCCTTGCTGCTTCTCTAAGGGACTGGGCCCGTGCGCGGCCCCAGTTGCCCCGTTCCAGTCCGTCGGTGCACCGTTTGTCCTGACAAAGGCCCGTTTGGGGGCCCGCTGGCCCCGTTCCCGTCCGTCGCTGCCGCACCGTTGCACCCTCCACGTTGCATTGCAATCGCATTGTGTTGCACTGTCTTGCGTTGCTTTGCAATCGCATTGCGTTGCAATCGCATGGTGGTGCAATGCTGCATTGCGTTGCAATCACATTGCTTTGCATTTCTGCACTGCGTTGCGATCGCATTGCTTTTCGTCGCTTTGCATTACTGTGCCCTGATTTGCATTGCTTCGCATTGCATTACACGGCTTTGTGTCATATAACATGTGTTGTATGATTTTGCGTTGCATTTACCCGCATGGCTGTGCATTGATTTGTACTGCTTTGCTTTGCTTTGTTTTGCTTTGCTTTGCCGTGTTCGGCACCGTGTAGATTGCGTTACACGGGCTGCACCGCCCAACCGAGATTGCGTCACATTGCCTGCACCACCTCGATTGCACCGCACAGGTTGCAAGAAATGACGGTTTGGGGTCCACGCTGGCTAACATTGTATCACTTGCCCCTTTGCCTCCTGTACAGTGCTCTACCCTTCGCGGCAGTTCGTTCAGAAATTCGCATATGCCCAATTGTCGGTCCGTGGCTCGGGAGCCCTCGCGAAGGGCAGTTGATTTATACTTCTTCGGTTTCGCCGTTGCCATCTCTCTCCTCTCGGATCGTCTTGTCCGTCCACATCTTCAGATGCCCTTCCATACCAACGCGCAGGGGCTTCGATGCGCCGGGGTCAGCCAATGGCTCGACTCGGACGTGCGCCTCCCGTCGCCCGCCCTGTCCCGCCCCACCGCTCAGCCGCGAGACCGTCGCAGCTGGAAGGCAGCGGAGCCTGCTTTTCTGGAGGTTTGCTCAGGTCGAGTTTTCCGCACTGGTGTAGGTGTCGGGCCTCTGGGCCTCTCATGCCACAGTGCGTACATACCAACGGGCACCCCTCAGGTCCATGGCGCTCATCCCCCTGACGCTGAACCTCATCATCCGCTCGTGCCTGCCACTCTCGACCTTCCTCGCGCAGTGGCTCCTCACGAAGTTTACGACCGGCGAGGGGAAGCCTGGCGCTCAGGGGAGCTCCTCCCTCCTCCAGCTCTTCCTATCCCTCCCCCATGCTTCTCCTCCCCCTCCTCCTGCTGCTGGTCCTCCTCTCCCTCCTCCCCTTTCTGCTGCTGCTGCTCCCCCTTCTCCAGATGCTACTCCTCCCCCCGTGCTGTTGCTGCTCCTGCTTCTCCTGCTGCTGCTGCTGCTGTCCCCCCTTCTGCAAGGGTGGAAGGAGAGACGCTGTCTGTCAACCGGGTGCGGGGGTTGGCGGATGACGGGAAACATGGACCCTGGATTTTGGCAGAAGTTTAGCATGGATCAG